TTCAGCCTCCACAAACATTGTAGGCGAAGGAGTGGTGAGCAGACCGGCAGCAGACTTCACAGCCTCAGCATCGACATTGACCGCTTTCATTGAAGTGGAATCCAAGTAGGTGGAAAATAACTTCTCGGCTTCTTTCACAGCCTTTCCGGATTTGGTGGGGGGGGGAGAGACAGAATAGGTTAAGAGTGAGAAGTGAGACTCGGCGAAGTGGAATAGAACAGCAAACAGGTTCATCTAAACGTCAAGAACCCGTAAACTTTGGCAAAGGTATTGCAGAACCAGGGGGGGGGAGAACGAACTGTGCACATGCAAAGTAAAGTAATGGTGGGGAGAGCGAAAAATCGACGGATCAGATGAAAAGTATTCCCAACTAAAAACAACTTTCCACAAGTGCAATCAATTCTAATTCTAATACGAACAAGAAGCCTCCGGTGTGCATTTATTGGCACTAGAATACACAACTCATTGATAGAGCCACTGGCTGGATCTTCACATTTAATTCAAACTTTCAGGAGGGTGGAGAGTAATCGTTCGTTAAGGGCAGGGTAGCAGCAGTAACCTTTATATAACGTGTAAGATATGCCAATATTAATCAATATAATGTCTTAAGGGAGGCCATGACAAGGTCCAAAGTTATCCGCATGCTAATTCGGATATTAATCTCATCAAAATTCGAGACTGAGTTCTCTACAAGCAAACAAGGATGAGGTAAGTGGAAGCAAATGCTATCGCCAACAAACTGGGCCCACAAACACACCACCTGTCGTAAAAAACGATGAACTACAGCGTTAGATCAAGGACTGGACAACTCAACTGTGTTAAAAAGAGAGAGAGAGAAACAGATTGATCAAAGATTCAAATCAGGCGCCGGTGATTTCAATGCGACTGTGGAAAATGGCCATCTAGTAAGCTTACACGTGATCCGGGGAAGTGGATACGCCAATTGCGAGCAGAACACCAGAAATCCAAATTTTCCTCACTGAACTCCGAGGCGAGGAAGGTCTGTGTATACGAAACAGAGATCGGGAAAGGAAAGGGGTTTTTTACTCTCGCTCAACGAAGTAATCAGGGGGGGGGGGGGCGAGCTGTGTAGCTCCCAAACTGTACATATGTGACACTGAACTTGGAGAACCAAAATAATCTGCTCATTCTGTGTTACCATGCTCGGACAAAGAACGGCGATGTGAAGCTTTTTTTCAGACAGTGTTAATTATCAGTAAAAATACAGTATGGAGAATCAATGATGAATAGACACAAGGAACTCAGTCATACACAACAAATCATCCGATAGCGTTTTAAAGCTCATCCCAATGGATAGCGGACTAGTCAAGCAATCACAATGCCAGATTTCTTTTATATCAAACTTTCCAGGAGCAACAGAAATCGATGAATCATACAGATGATTAAGGAAGTACCCGTTTAACGCGATTTAGGGAAGTACTGAAATACAACACTGTTCAACACCCGTGAGCGCATGTGTAACTTTGTTATTTCGTTGCACTACCATCCGAACTCCGTGTGTACCGATCCTAAGGGATTTAATGAGTATCAACCTTGTAATTTACTCATAATAAAAATATGAATTTTAACGCTTTGAATTTGAACCACTTCGGTGTCATTTCGAAGTGAATGATGTACACTTTCTTTGACCCCTGACGGATTACTGTTTAATGTTATCGTTCCACAGATTATGCTTAGTGCTGTGGTGAACAAATTAGGTGATCGAAGTAAAGTTTTGGTTTTATGTGCTATTCACAAACTAAGGGAGATCGGTAAGTTGTCACCAGAAAAGCCGGCAGGCATCCTGCTCTACTTGACGCTCTTGTTGAGGAAGTTAGGTCATTTCTTTTCCGACCAAACTTATTGAAAGATCCAAGTATTGTGTCATCTCAATGCTCAGTTGTTTGGAACTTTGATTAGAAAAGCGAAACTTAGATGCAACCGGTCATTCATCGAATACCGCGATAAAACTAACAGAACTTTACACGGCCTTTTTTCACACTACCGTAAAGTCAGAACAGGTTCCCGAGTGTCTTATAACGGCTTTGCTGACGGTTCTAAGCCGAGCCGCTTCTTTTATTCCTGGTGAGTCGATAGTACTTTCTGTCACTGATTCACTATCCCAGTTTTATCATTCAACTTATCCAAAACGTCTTGTTTGTTCGGTTCTATTAGTAGTAGAACTGTGGCCAAACGTGCACTAAAACCATCATAGAAATAAGCTGTGGTCCCCGTATTCATGTCAAAAGCGAGCTCGTTGGGCGTCCGTGAACACTGTGGTATATATGTTGTTTGCAAGAAAAGTGTGAATAGACCACAGGGGACTGGTTTAGTTGCTGTCACCGGTGTGCTTCGGGCCCTATAGTCCGAGGTCTGAGTCCTGCCACTGCCACCCAACTTTGGAGGTAAGCAACTTTGCTGTCGGCCGGTTCAATACCACACCTAACTTATCGCGGCCTTATGTGGTTCGCCACTACAAGTCCCTGGAATTAGGTTATCGGTCTCCATCAATGAACAGCAGGTCCTCGTGACTATGGTGTTTACCCCGTTTACTGTTCATCACACTAAAAAGGCGTGTAATAAAAAAAATAGTTTACTAAGTATTATGTTTATCCAGTAAAAGAGACTATTCCCATCACAAGACCGTACCTTGACATGGTGTGATGGCTTATGCACTCTCTAACCCAACGAGCTACACACTTTTGCCGAGCCAAAGATCTAATCATTCCTGGAAGTTCGAAGGGCAGAGGTCAGACGAAGTTCAGTCTCCTGGTCCCCTAGGTTGAGGGTTCGACTGGAATTTTCGTTAAAGTCGGTAAAAAATAGTGGAGGAGTAATTGATCCAAGTAAATGGGTCTCTACTTCGTTTAATCCGCTGCCTTCCGGCTAGGTTCTTGTCAGAACTAAAGGCTTTGGTTGAGATTCCTAATCGTTCTCCTGCTTAGTCGCTGAACACCCTAGCAATACCCGTCAATCAAACCCCAGTGCATATGCATTGCGAGTTTGGCAGCGATAAGTGAAGTTCGCTTCCTTGTAGTCCGCTGTACGATGATGATTATGATGATGTTGAGCAGGTGTTGACTGGCAACCTATCAAGGTGTTCCTTGGCTTTTGGCTGATCAACCATCCATAATGAGATTAGCTTGTCTAGTTCAATGTTTTGTTTTCCTCTGTGAAGACCCAGGTCAGTTTGAACAATGCGATTAGTCTGCAAACGATATCAACCACTTAAACTAATTTCCTTACTTGGAAAGAATAAAATCCATTCACAGTATCGCACATGGCATGCATCAGTGTATAAGTGAGTCAGCGGACATTTTATAATTAGTGAAATGACATCGAATGAAAACGTCGTTTTTGCTTGCAACTTTATGTCTCCTGTATAGAAGACAAACTGAAAACATTGTGCCTGCACGTTGAAATCGATTCGGTTATTACCAATTTGAAAGCCTGACGAATCCAACGAAGGGTCTAGCAAGTAAATCAGGCAAGGATTTGGAAAGGTTTAGACGTATGCTGGTGATAAGCTGCTCTTAAGTACCGTGATCCGTTTACGCATTAGCATCTAAACGGTTTGAGGTAAAATGCTAAAACCAACGGTGGTCGTTGTTAGGACTGGAAACGATCATGTTCGAAAGGCATCGAAAAGCCACGCCGCATGTTCGAGATGCAAAAAAATGAAACGGAGAAAGTTGAGGGTGAAATGACGGAGCTACTCGACCTACAACAGTACGTACATAACACAACATTTCAAGAGACTGAAACCATGTCAACAATTCCAACACTGTATGGTCTGCCTAGGCTCTACAAGGAAGTACAGCCAATTACGGAAATGATTCGCCGCACCACACAACAGTATAGTGGTCGGTCGAATTGCCAAAACCCCTTCCATTGTAAACTCGCCAGGTACAGCCTACTAGACAGTTTTGCAGTTTGTATCGAACACAGAAGACACGGATGAATTTGTAAGCAAAGGCGACATTTTCATTGGATGTCCTTTGGTTGTTCACAAATATATCCCTGATGCAGCCACTAGACTTCATCTGTGATCAAATGGAAAATTTTTACAAACACGCCGACTACTATTACGGACTACTGATATCACAATACAAATCACAGCGCACGTTGTCTCCGTGACAACAAACACAGAGCGCTGATAGAACATTTAAAGATCGCCACCAACCTGAAAAACTTGAATTCCCTCGGGATCCGAAAGCAAGCGATCAAAGTTTAAACGCCAACTGGTCGGATCGGATTTGGATGCCGCTGCCACAGTGCTTCGGCTAGAGGAATACTTGTAACTAGCCGGCGGGACGTTTTCGTTCAGACTGAATAAGGAAGAGTTAAGCTTTTGCGATATCGACTGACTGAGCGTGGCACACTGAACGGTACGATTCAGGCCTGGATTTATCGCAGAGCGCCTCTCGAGTGGAGTTTCTGTTGACTATATTGTGAACAAGAAAAGAAAGATGTGAAACGATGTTGACACTCTAAATCAGACAAGGGCATTGATCAATGCAAGTAGCTTAAAACTATCAAGTAAAACTGAAGACAACGAGAGAAATCCACTTATGCGTGAGTGAATGTAATCAATTGGAGCTGACGAGAAACTGAGTTTCAGTTTGTATAACCAATAACCATGCACTTTCGTGCACCCGTTTTGGTTGCTGCCTTTTGGCTTCCCATTTGGATGAAACAGTAGGAGAAAGACAATAAGGATGAAAGTAAAGTCGAAGAGAAATTTGAGAACTCCAGTAAACTATGGCTGCAAAGAAATATATCATATCAAACAGTGTCTCTAACCATCGAGGTTACGAGAAACTGAACCGTCGGGTTTTAAAAATAGGACACGGAGCCTCTGAAAAACAACCAAGTTATAACATATAAAATTACGCAGAAAAAACTTAGGATTAAGTGTAAGATAAAAAATAACCAGGTAGAATTTAAAGGCCAAAAAAGAGAAACTTGTTCGAATAGGTCAGTCAAAATCAGAAAGCGCTGTGATCAAAACTGGGACCACAATGTACACTGGCCAGCCCGTACTCAGGCACTGTACACAGTACGGTCGCGCTTTACAGGTAACATCGATACTGATCGCGGATTGTATAAATGACAACATAAGAGGATAGGAATAACGGGGAAAACCATCCAAGTCGATCTAACTCTACTGCGTCGCACTAGTGACAGACGAAGAACCTTGGACATATTCAGTCGAAAGCCCCCAAATAATCATTTGAAAAAAAATCTTGCTGACCAGTTCCAAGGAGACGGACAACATAAATGAATCGGCTTACGTGGATGGAAGAATTTCGCCGATCATTCCACCGATCCCGTATATAACCTGCCGCCTTGGTGAGCTTACCAAACAAGCGACTGGAACTTGGTCGTAGAACAGACTCTGGTCGTTTGAAGACAGATGACTCCTTCAAGCCGGTCATTATCGTTTGACAGCAATTCGTGGTTGACCGTAATGAACAGAACAGGGGTGGAGCGGAACGAAAACAGGATATAAGGAAATCTAAGGTACAATTAGAGCTATTCTGAACTCACGCTACACATCAGTTGAGACGGTAGGAATACATAATGCAGGTTATACTAATCACTTCAAAGCTTTACGGTAAACAACGTTTGTGCATAAAACCACTTGTCCGTGATTGGGCTGGAGTAACGATACAGTTTATGTTTGTACTCCGAGGATATTGGAATTACAAGGACCCTGTTCCACCAAGTTGTCCAACTTGCTATTTAGCGAAAGAAAGTAGAAAAGATTGCTACTAATATACTGGTATTATTATTACACCAACATCCGAGGAATCCTATGCATGGCCTTGGCCCCTTTCTCGAAAGTTCACTCCACATTTGTATACTCACTACACAAAAGAGAAAGTAAAAACATTCATTTATTTTTATTTGAAGTGATTATCCTTCGGACTTCACCTTCACGAACAATTCTTAGTTCATCCATTCAACCACACACTCGGGGTAGCACTAGACTCGAGTTTCGCTCTTGTCAGAGCTCGTCGATGGTGCATATGCACCATTCCATCCGGACCCATCGTACGGAAGGCGTGTGTTACCGCTGTGCCAACCAGCTCATACCAGGGCTGAACCGAACTGCCGGTTCGTGTTTATTCGCGTATCATCGTCCGTGCTAATCAGTCAGTTTTGGTCGAACGGCAACGAAGGGAGATAAAAATTGACTGTTAACTACAAACAAAAACCTCCCACTATAGTAATCAGTTCAAATCAATCTAAATTATCTCACATTACTACTGACAAGTAACTTTAAGCTAAATGCGGTCTATTTATAGCATTAACTTTAATAAGGCAGAAAACTTATCACCAGCATCCAACCCCCATGAATTCGATGTAGCTTGTGTACGACAAGTGTATGCGATAGTTTTGATAGTATAAAACTGTCTCTAAGTTGTAAACATCTATGCTGATTAAAGAAGACTGAATGTGCGTGATCAGGGTAAGCTGAATGAATCCAGGCTAAAATCGCACAAAAATATCAAGAGCAACCAAAATAAAGTTCACCAGGAAATGCAATTGGAAGCGAATAGAAAAGACAGTTTTGTTGTCAATGTACTGATTGTGAGAAGCGGGACATTGAAGCACCAATCAAGATAGACTCGCATAAGTTACCCGATTGGTAATGCTGCCAAATTCTTCTTCAAAATGGCGGTAACAACGGTGACGAAGAAGAAATGTAGTCTCCTAGCCGAGATATATAAAACAGTGATCAAAGGCGGGATTGAGGTCAGACTACGATTCCTTTTCGAGTAGAGCAATTTAGTCCTTCATAGCATTGCGTGATCACAACCGATTCCGTTCAGCTTGAATAAGCAATGATTAAGTATTGGAATTGCACTTTAGAAACCTCAAGACAGACTTATTAATATAAAAAGAGAAGAAAAGGGAAAACGAGAAATGAGTAGATTGCATCATACACTTCCGGATTCAGTATGAAACTACTCCACGCTCTGAACAGAGAAATTTCATTACAATCTTCGCATAGAGCACTTTTTGGAAAAAATAATCTTTGCGAAAACTCACTTTTGCTTTGGGACAAGAAACCAGGGGGGTAGAGAAATGAGACGCAATATTGGAGACATCAAGGATATTTTGCANTTTTGCAGCTTTGTGTGATCGTCTACGGGTGAAGAAGTGTGCACCTGATCTCTGCTTTGGTTGAGCCGATTCCAGGAAACATCATCCAACTCTTTCAAAACGCTAACGACTGACGTGGCATCACGGGGAAATTCGGCACATTCGCCAGTCAATCTATCCCTGTGGCAGGCCAGATCAAACTGTTTCACCAAAGTCGCATGACTTCGATGACCCAGCAGCTTGGGTGGGAGACATCTGAAGAGA